TGGCGTATACCGTCGTTTCAACCAAAATTTTCTATCCACGAGGGAGGGGAGGGGGTGGTGAATTACGACCAAGATTCTATCGATCGAGGGCGAACAGCGATGGGCTGGTTATATAGAAAGTACGGGAAACGTTTTCAGGTGGTTTATACATGAATCGGTTCCCAACGAGTATCAAAAGTTATATCATTCCTCCGGCGCAAATGAACTTTAATTTCTGTAATTCAATAAGCCACGAGAGCACTCTCCACTTCGTATCCCCGATAACTCTCCGGCTTTCAATACGAGTTTAAGAACATCCGAGATCGGCACTTATTTGTAAGTAATTCAGATCCGTCTCTGGCCTGCCCTCTTCCTCCCCCCCTCTCCCCACCCTGTGGTTTAATGATTAAGACGAGGATAGGTAGAAGAGTGGATACGAGAGAGAGAGAAAAGAAAAGAAAAGAAAAGAAGAGGAATAAAGGAGAAGGAGTTCGAGAGAGAGAAAGAGAGAGAGAGAGAGAGAGTGGCTCTTCTTCCCTTCCCTTGTCGTCGTTGCTGCATTTTTAATACCGCATTCTCCCCTTTAAAATTTAAAAATACTTCCGCGTCGCGTAATTGCAGGACCTGCTGGAAGTAAAATGCACGTGAATGCAGGGAAATCCGTCTCGTTGGTCGATCCGCCGCCGACGGAACGGAGTTTCGCGAAAAGAGGAGAAGGAGGAGGAGGAAGAGGAGGGTGGCGGAGGTAGTGGAAAAGGGGGAGGGAGAGTCACAGAGGAGGCAGCGTGCCGGGGCTTGGTTGCTCCAAGAAAATTAAGTACTGCCTGGTAATTTGAGGTATTGATTTTTATAGCCTCTCTCGGTAGGCATACATTAAAACTCCCTCCCTTTGTCTCCCTCCCCCGGGCTCGCTTTCCACCCCTTCTTCTTAGTCACCCTTCCCTGCAGGGGTGACACGAACACGGCGGTGCCTGGCGATCCAGCATAAATCTATCTTCCCCTACCTTTCTCGAACGAAACGTTCGCATACGTGTCTTTGGTACGGGGCTGCTCCTCTTCGATCACGAGCTCGTGCTTTCGCGTGGATACTTTTTTTTTTTTTTTTTTTTTTTTTTTTTT